AAAAAGAAATATATTAAATAATCATAAAATTATGAAAATTGAAACACTTTTAAAGATCATAGAAAATTTATACAAAAAAATAAAAGCTAATTCAACATCTACCCACTATGTCTATGATTTAAAAATTAAATTATTAAAACCTGTAATCTTTACAGGAGGAATCCCAGTATTCACATTATCAGTTATATTGTTTCTAGATAAATCAAAGCAAACTGTTACAGTGCAGCATCAAATCCAACAGTCTCTCGTGATTGCATTTTGCAACTCATTCATAATTACAGGATTGCCGCTCAAATTATGAATTTAAAAAAAATTCCCTGTGTTTTCCCTGTCTGTATTATACACAATATATTAAGAAGAAACAATTCATGTACTCTTGTATGAGCTATATTGGGGTAACTATACTAGCTTTAATTGCTGGAAAAACTTAAGAGTTAAAAAAGATACAGCTCAACAATTAAATAATTTAATATGGCTGAACAATCATCTTTAAATATACCGCAGATTAAACTTAGACAGGTCTGCAATTCTTTGTTTTTTCCAAGGACAAAAATTCTTTGTTTTTTCCCAGTTTGTAAGAAAAAATTTAAAATTCCCCGTTATTTCAGATCAGGGGTTTCCAACTTACATGAAGCCGCGGGCCACAATTAAAAACACAAATCAAATGGCGGGCCACAACTTTATCAAAATTTTATGAAGAACTTTTTTATGTTTGAAAGAACATTAAATATTACTGTCAGATTTTTAATAAGTTGTACAAAACAAAAGTATTGAATTACAAATTAAAATAAGAAGTAGAATATTAAAAATATTTAATTGTTATTAATAATATTTTTAAAAATATTAAATAAATAAAATAAATTCGGGCTACTATAACTTTAATGTGCACCTATGTATTAAACAAATAATGTGCAACAGATATCTAATTGTAAAGATATAAAACTTTAAAAAGGTTGATATTAAAACTTACATAGTGGCACACAAAATATTCAGTGAGAAAATTGAGATTTGTCTGCTACAACCACCAGAGAATAGATATTTACATTTAAAATTTACAAATGTGTGTGTAAATATTTTCGTCCAAAATGAGTGGTTGGTTTCAAAAAGTTAAATCGGATAATTTTTTCGAGAAAATTTCTGATACGCACATGCTAAATTATATTAACAAAATACANTTAAGTCTATGGAGGTGATCAGCGAGGCAGTCGTGCCAGCTTTCCAACTTAAAGGCAGCAACCGCATTGCTTTTCGGGTGATCAGAGATCTTATTCAGAATCTCCCTCCAGAACTTGTCCCCAATTTGTTCAATTAAATTATTTTCCTGACTCTTAATTATTGTGTTTTTCAATTATTCTATTTATAGAAGAGTAAAGAATTTCTTTCTGGGAGCTCTGTAAAATACCAGTTCCTTTTTTAGCAAGATCAGGGTGGCCACTCAAATCAGATTTCAAACTTCCCTGATTTTTCCAGGTTTTCCAGATAAAAATCTTAAAATTTCCAGGTTTTTGTTTCTTTTTTCTTATAAAGTGTAGGATGTGTACAAGAAAAGTGTCGGTATTATAAAATATTTTATTCAAAATATTATTTTTCTAACATATCATCTTGAAAAAAATAATTTATTTTGACAAGTTGGCAAAGATTTTTTTTTTTTAATTTTTAATGTTTTGGAACAAAATTTTAAATCAAAAATCAATCACAATTGTAAATCACAATTGTAAAGATTTGTCGACAAACATTGCTGTTAGCGATTGTAAAAAAATGTGATTGGTTGGTTTGCTGAGAAAAAAAATTCATAGATTTCTTTGAATGGGAGTAGGAAAGCTTTCAGAAAAAGGGTGCAATATAAAGTCTATTATTATTAAATTATAACCAACTAATTTTTGGAAAATTTAATAAAGTTAAAAATACAAAAACATTTTGTCAAAATAGAAAAAAAAAATACCACCAAAGCATCGGAATAAACTTGAGCCATAAATGGATTCAGCCCAAGGACAGAATTTAAAAACAGAAGCTAATTTCCTAATCCCTTTTTCCACCTCCACCAGAATCTTTCCTAAATTGTACAGTCCCATAGCGGTCAAAGATTTCTACATTCGTTTAGCAATCGTGGCAGAATTTTATGTGGCATTCTAGTTTAACAGAGCTGTAATGGAGCAAATTTTGATGCAAGCAAAGTATCGCTAAGTTGATGATATTTCAACTGTTTGGCGATACAAAAAAAAAGTGGGTATAATGGATGAAATAATTTAAATGAAGAAAATTAGTAGATAATTTAAATTGGTGAAATTAAAAAAATGATCAAAGAAAAAATTTCCAGCTTTTCTTTAAAATTCCCTGATTTTTCCAGGTTTTTATCCCAATTTCCCTGATATTTCCAGGTTTTTTCCAGTATAAAAAAAATTCCCTGATAATTCCAGGTTTTCCAGGTGGGTGGCCACCCTGAAAAAGATCTGTCATCTCGCTTCCATAGATATTACAGTGAGAAGGAACCCTCTGTAACACAATATTCTTTTTTAAGGACAAAAGTAGCCCAAAATTCTCTTAACAACTTTTAATTCCAAGAGAGTACGAAAAATCAACAGATGTTACTGCTTGGATTGGTAAGATGGAGTCGATAAATACAACGACATTCTCTATGTCACCCATTCTTGATAATAGTTGTTGAAAAGTAGTTCTAATAAGTCGGAAGAAGCATGCTAAAAGAAGTAATTGCTACTTTTATCACATTTTGAAGTGTTGTGTGATAGAAAAAACACTGGTTTATAGCAATTTCTGGCAACTAATTTTTCAAATTTGATTGATACAAATCTGCACATGTCCGTCAATGGGCACGATTGGATCCCGTGGCCAAGCATAATAAGATCAGTATCAGTATTATTATTTAAACTAGCCATTATGGATAATAAATAACTTATCCATCTCTTTAGCCATACTTTTAAATGTGAATGTACTCTCCTGAAACATACTAATTTTATTTGAATGGCATGATTTTCAATGCACTTTATTTCTTAGAGGAAATAAAAGAGCATTGTACGCTTAACAAAGAGCATTAATACTGATTGGAAATATTTGAAAATTTCCTAATATTTAAGTTAAATATTCACTGACGAGAAAGCTACTAAAAGTTGAAGTTTACAAAAACAAAGTGGTAAAAAAATGGTTTAGAATAGCAAACTGGCTCATGCAAACATGAATAAGTATATCTCAATAATTTCTCATTCCAGTCAATTGTTTATTTTAAATATGGGTAGTAATTTAAGTTCTTCAGCAAAGTAGTGACTTTAATTCATAGTCACGCTATATTTTTAAGAAAAAGCAGTTGTAGTTAACTAAATTTGAAATAAAGTAATTGTAGTTAACTAAATTTGAAATAAAAGTAATTGTAGTTAACTAAATTTGAAATAAAGTAATTGTAGTTAACTAAATTTGAAATAAAGTAATTGTAGTTAACTAAATTTGAAATAAAGTAATTGTAGTTAACTAAATTTGAAATAAAGTAATTGTAGTTAACTAAATTTGAAATAAAGTAATTGTAGTTAACTAAATTTGAAATAAAGTAATTGTAGTTAACTAAATTTGAAATAAAGTAATTGTAGTTAACTAAATTTGAAATAAAGTAATTGTANAAAAAAAAAAAAAAAAATATTTTTTTTTTGAAGGTCACTTCTTTTTTGAGTTACAATACAGGCTAAAATTAATTGCTGAGTCTAAACAAAAAAAATTCTTCATGTGACAATTAGTCAGGTAACGTGATTTTGCAGAGATAAATTTATAATTTAAAACATTAAATTTTGGTATGTGCAGTGTATCTAAAGGGACGACTTATCTGGTGATTTTTTTTTATTGCTACTTAAGTTTAGAAATTCTATTATGCTGAATTAATTCTCAGAAATTTCATTATTACTCTTCCTCTCTTTATCTTTTGCAACAATGTATTTTTATAATCTAGGATCAATAATTTAAAAAAGAATTAACAATGCAGGTGAAAAACAGATTAAAGGAGGTAAAAATAACACAATCAATGCAAAAATGCTGCTGACGAATTTAAACACTCTGGGAACAGTCTCTTACGAGGATCGACTGAAGTACGATTCCCCTTTTTCTAGCTGTAGGTGTGAAGAAAAAAAGAAATATATACAAGCCATTTTCCAAAACAATGAGTGGGGTGAAATGCACTTTATCTTGATCTATCTGCTTTTATAACTGAAGGTCAACTTTATTATTTTTACTCCGGGAAACGAATGATTTTGAAATTTAAAGATGTTCCATAAAATGATGCACCACGATGAGCATGTGAAAAAAGGAGAACGCTTCATTAGATTTTAAGAAGTCTACTTTTTCCAGTTTTTCTTTCAGTTTCTTTGCAGATTTAAAGAAAGATCGTTTTTGTTTACTTATAATATATTTACCATTTATTTTAAAAATGTGTAGCTATTTAATCCTTTGACTTACAAAAAACAGGGATATTATAAATCAATTATAAAAAATATAATTTCTTGGTGATCATTTCATTTGTTAATTTTACCTAAAACAAGATTTGTTTTTAAAAATAATTTTTAAGGTTTTTAGCTGTTTATCATTTGATAGGTAAAAACTTTAGATATTTAAAATTAATAATAAAAATGGGATGTGCTTGTGCGCTGTTGTTTTGTGTAGTACAATTATGCACAAAACAAGACTTATTTAATTATTATCATATTCTTCTGAATTATTGTAAGGATTGTTAACTGCTTAGTTATTTGATTTATTAATATTTAAGTATTTCAAAACAAATTATGACTAAGAAACATGATGTGATCGTTCTATATGGTGCTATTCTAAGAATGATAATGTTTTTAATAAAAAAATATCATCAGCATGTGTTAATAGGCCATTGGTTATTCAACCAAGTGACCTTTCATTAAAAAACAAAACAAAATTGCACATAAGGTAGGAGAAAATCAAAAGTAGTTTCTAAAGAAATTAAAATATCAGCCTGAGAAAATTCCTGAAATAGTGTGTTTCATTTTTCTAATTTATGATGTAATTTGAGTTGCTATAGGTAGCTTACCTCTTAATAGATTAGCTAGATCATACAGAGTCTTATCGTCATCATTTCCTGTCCATCGTTTGAGCTTGAGGGCATTTCTAGGTTGGAGCTTGAATGACTGATGATTCCAATCTATGAAAATTACTTTAGACAGCTCCCTATTCAAGCAGGACAAATCCTACAAACAATGCATTTTTTGAAGGATGAATTTAACACCAAAAGGGTTTACATAAAATCATGACATTATTTTAAAAATAATTAAATTAAGCTTGATAAAAATCTCAGGGTTGTCACAGAAAAAAAAGAACAAAATAGTTGCTTTTAGTGGCCTAAAGCATGAAAATAATTGCCTAAATAGGAACAAAAATTTATCAAACATTTGACTAAAATTTTATTGAATGACTTAATTGTCATATACCATGATCTATTTTAAAAAAAAGTTTTATACAATTAAACTTTAATTAATGAAAACTTAATTTTTTGGCATTTTGGACATACATGATAGCATAATAATTTGTTGTATTTAATTCAGAAGCTACCGTGGGCCGCAGGTTGTGCAACCGAACCTGAAAAGGTTAAAAAGCCTTTTCAGGTAAAAATAAATAAATGCCCCAGTTGCAGCAGGCCGAAAACAGTTGCAAATAGTAGCATTTTAGACGCCTGTGGCAATCCTGAAATCTATTATTTTATTTTATTTTTTACATTTACCATTCAAAATTCTGAAAAAATGTATTAGTAATGCTAAATTTTATCTAAAAACAAAATTATAGCTAAAGTACCTCAGATTTCAAACTATAAATCATCAAGTATTTTATTTAATTATTGCAAATTAATCACTGAATAAATAAAATCATGTTCATTTTATTTATTTAAGCTAAACACTAAAGGACAAGACTGTGCAATTTATCTGGTGTTCGTTGGCCAGTAGAGGTACATTTATTGGTGGCCACTTTTTTCTTTCAACTAGCCCTTTTTTTGTGTTAAAAGTACCTTAATAATATTTTTGCTTCATAATTGTTATTATAAAAATATTTTACTTAGTTTAAAAAAATGCTATTAATATTATCACACATTATTATAAAAATACTATATTATTATTATAACATGTTTTAAGGAAGAATTATAATTTTAAAAAAAAAGGAAAAATATATAATAGGTGTGATTTTAGACTTGTTTTTCTCGGAATCAATTTTCAACTTTTGCATCAGAAAGAAATATAATAACCAACTCTGGAAAATTAAGTCTATTAATTAAACCAACTGCTGCTCTCAGATTTATTTATCTCAGTATTCTTTTATTACTCATTTCTTCTTTAATTTTTTTTTTTTATATCAACTGCATTTGATATGCTTTTTTAAATTTTTTTTAAACAGATAAATCTTATCCTTCAATCATTGCCATGTTTGTCTGTTATTATACAGCATCTAAATAAATTACTTTTATTATACTCGTGTATGGCAAAATACAAAATTTGAATAGAATCGATCAAATAGTTCCTGAATAATTAAATATTGAAAAACTATAAATTCTCAGAAACTATTTGACCAATTTTGTACAGATTTTACATTTTGTTATTTAAAATTACCTTCTTTAATACGATGTAAAAAAATTTATACCTCTCAATTCAAAATTTTTTCGATTATACGATTATTTCGATAAAATAATAAATATTTACTTGAAGTTATCTTTAGATAAATAAATTTTATACTGTGTGCAAAGAGTTTTCAGTTTGCTTAAAAAGTTAGCTAGATATGGTGAAAAATGTAAAAAGTAAAGTTATAAAGAGTTCAAGGACAGCCTGACTGCTAACTTTGGAAACATCGCTGCACTAATTAATTAGCATATTTGAGGTCACCTGTTCAAACCATTAAGATTGTATAGAATACAAAAATCTGTTCATTAGACAAAAAGTTATGTTTTTTTTTAGGGCACTGTAGGTTGAAAGGTTTTAAGCTTCATATATAAATCATGATTGAAGAATAAAATAATAATAAAGTAAAGTAACAAAATAAAGTAGAAATATTAGGTAAAAATAGACATTTTACATAATACATTTTCTTTATTTTCTCTTTGAAAAATTGCATTACAATTTTCAATATTTGTATAAAAATATTCTGAACAATAAGTTACAAAACAACAATTTGGCAATTTTTTTTTCCACCAAGATGAAAAGGCCAACAATAATAATTTTCATACCTTGCAATTTTTTAGACTATGAGGTGATAGCTCTCCTTCTCAAAAAATTAGATCAAAGATTTTCGAATATTTTTTTAAGTCAGAAATTTCAATAAAAGTCAGAAGAATTTCATGCCTGAATCTGGTACAATAAAATTTTAAAAAAAACTCAGCACCCTTTTCCGTTATTTAATTCTTAATTATACACTGGTACATATTTCTGTATTTAAATACATCCTATTAACAGTTTCAAAAATATTTAACTACAACGTAAAATAATTAAATGTGTTTTATATAGTGAAATATGAAAACTTGTCATTAAAACAAAATTATAATTTTCAAATATTTACCTTAACATGATGCCCCTCCATATACCTGGTTGCATCTCTGAATAACCGGTACATTATATAACCATTAGGATCTAAGGTATCAATTATTGGAAATGCTGTCTGTAAAAAAAAAGGAGGAAAAAAAAAAACATTTTACTAAGAATTAAAAATTAGTTTATTTGTTATCAGAAGAAGAGGGAAATACTCACAAAACCTTGTTCACTTGTGTAAATAACTATTTCAAAAAGTGGTGGTCCAGCTTGTTGAAGGAAGTAATCGACGCCTGGTCTTTTTTTGAAACGCCATCCTGTTTGATACTGCAATGATAATAAGGCATTCATTAAGATGGAAAGTTTGACAAGCAAATAAAATAACACAGATTCTTAGAGATTTTTTAACAGGTCAGGCAGGTCATGGGCTAACATGCTGGTCATGTGCTTTAACATGGCAGGTCATGTAACACGGTTGCCACTCAAATCTCGAAAAAATATTCCCTGCGTTTTCCCTGTACATATTATACACAATATATTAAGAGGAAACAACAATTACTGTGTTCTTGTGTGAGCTTCATAGGGCTAACTATATTTATTAGTTTTGATTACTGGAAAAACAGCTGAACATACTTAAATAATGCCATAGCATATTAAATAGTTTAGTATGGCTGAAATATCATGGTTAAATATCCCATAGATTACGCCTTGAGTGGTCAACATTTTTTTAAAATACACAAATAAGAAGAAAAATTCCCTGTATTTTCCCAGTTTGTAAAGAAAAAATCAAAATTCCCTGTTACATTAGGTGATTTTTAAATTCCCTATATTTTCCAGGTTTTCCCTGTTCTCCCAGAGGAGTGGCAACCCTGTGTAAGGCGAAATACATGCCCAAACATCTTTTTCAAATGCAAATTGAAAAAAAAAAGAAAATGTATTAATTATTCATTATCAAACAAATAAAAATAAAGATAACACTTTTATATCGACATGTTACATTAAAGAACCATTTATAATACATCCAGTATGCAAAAATAATCGGGGGTAAAATTGCTTGGTTTTCCCGTAATTTTAAACTAGAATGATTGAGGCAAAAATGCAAAAATTGGAGTCATCCTTAATATAAAATTGTGAGATTTTTTTCTCTTGATTTACGAAGTGATTACTTGTGTAAAAATGTAAATGGATTTATCCCCGCTAATTACAATAAAAAATTACATGAAAGTAAAGAAATTCGATTGAAGAAAACTTTTGGACAGTATTTATGACATATATTATTTTATTTTATGAGCAAAATATGAAATAATATATCCTGATTGGGTGGTGAATGGCTGAAAATTTTTCATCTCTCGGGGTCTGCCTAAGTTTTTTTAGGAGGTACCTATTTTGTGAAAATTAAAAATTATGTTAACAAATCAACACAAAAATAAAAAAATATTTTCAAAAATTGTCACTACAAATAAAAAACCATTTATGATTGGTAAATTTCTATACATATTTTTCCCATATGTTAAAAACAATTTCGCTGTTGTAAAATTTTGGGCTTAAAATTGCATCCAAATTTAAAAATGCATAAAAATTATTGTTTATAGTTAAATTTTAACTTGATTTTAATAGAAACATACTGTAAGCATGCATACATACATGCATGAAACATACATAACTGTAATAGCACTGAAAGTTATCTTCATTATGAGAACATTTTCGACTAGGTCGACAGAAAAAAGTTTCATCGAGAAAAAAATATTTCATAAAAAAAAATATCAAGGTCTATTAGAATAAATTTAGAATAATGTTTAAATTTAATTTTCGGGATTCCGGCATATCTTCAACCAGGCATAGTGAAGAAATGCACTCATCTTACAAATCCTGGGGTAGAGAATTCGTCTACTATGTCATAATAGCAAACCAGGGGTGGGTTCCATTGCAAATCGAAATGCATCATTAACTCCAGGCTTATTGTTTTTACGGGGATACAACAAAATGATAAATGGTGTGGGGGGGGATTTTAGAACTTGCTTTTTTAAAAGTATTTTGTGAAACTACCGTTTTTCCTTAAGTTGAACTTGTGAAGGTACCGCTAAGCGGTAGTAAATTTGCTCTATACAGATCCCTGTCTGTTATATTTAATCACACGATAGTGACTATTAATTTTGCCACATAAAGTAACAGGCAATTTTTAAGTAGGTTAGGAGTCTAAACCCAAAATAAATTTTTTTAGGATAGAAGGAAGAAAAAAAAAAGGACTCAACTTACAGTCCAATCAGGATGCACAAGAACACCAGTCATTTCCAAAACTAAAGTATAAGGAGGCTGATAATAAGGTTCAGTCAGAGGATCTGGCAACAATTTTTCTCTCGAAGGTTCTTTAATTAGCTATGTAAAAAATACACTAAAATTTTAGTACCAAATAAAAATCTATACATTGAATCCCTACATTGAAAAATACTCACTTTATTGTAATATACTATTTCTTTATAAGTTCTATATAAATAAGCTTTGAATGTTGGCACTGTAAAGGAAAAAATACAATTAAAGGCAAACAACTGTAAATAATTTTCTCTTCTTAATAGGATAAAAATAAATGTATGACTTACTATTACTAAATTCATCTTCTACCTATGAAAAAAAAAGAAGATTTTTATTCATATGTTAAAGTATGTATGTGTATGCATATGTATTATGTAAAAGATTTCATCTGAAAAAAAAAAGATTTTTATATGGAATATATATGTATGTAAAGAAAATACTTAGAAAAAGATTTCTTTTATGCTGAAAAAGAGTAACATATGCAAAAATACTTCAATGTGTGTATACATATACTCATGTTTTTTTTTAAAGAAAACATTAATTAAAAAATTTACTAAGAAGTTTAGTATGAAGTTATTTAAAGTTTCTATTGATTTTTATAATATACAATTTATTACAGATATATTAGTGTATAATAAATTATAGCCGTTATGAACTTTCTTAGAAATTTTTTTTCCAGATTTTTCAGAATGCAGATGAAAAACAAAACAGAAATTCAAGGCATTTTTATTATTTATCATGCAGTGAAAATTTTACAGATTTCTAGTTTTAAAATACAATCTTCTTTTAAATAATTCTTTTTAATACTATCTTTAAAACATCATTTAATTCATTAATTTTTATTTTGCAAACATATTTTGAAATCATCATAAAGTATGTACAAGAAATTTAAGTATATATCTAAAAGAAAATTATCCAAATATGGCTAAAAGGAATTGGAGTCCTTTCAATGTGTTTTTTTTCTAAATATGGGATAACCAAATTAATTTCGGGATTTTTTTTTTCAATTTTAAACTGTTTTTAATTGCTAATTATTGAAGTAGAAAAAAGATTATGTTAACAAAAAGATTAAAAGAGAGATGGTTTGTAACAAAACACTAAAGGCCTGGTTTCCTAAGACAAGCGCCTTCTCTTGGCGTTAGCGGGAAGTTGACGTACCGCTGGCGCCTACAAAATACTGTTTTGTTAGCTCAGCGTGAGCAGTCGGTCCAACACAGACATTATCTCGTATGTGTTAATAATGTAAACAAATATTTATTTTGAATTTGTAATGATTTTGTCAAAGAAATAACACATTATAGCTTAGCTAAATGAAGAAGAAACTATGTTTAATATTAAAATCAAAATCTCGGCTGATTTCAATGCTTTGTTGGATGTTGTGCGCCATTGCTTTTATCGTTAACGCTACATTGTAATCCAACTGCAGTTTATTCGGACGTCAGTCATTGTTCAAGCTGAGCGTTCGATGACGTATGCTGTCTATCTCACAAACTGACCAATCAGGAGTTAGCGCTTGCTTCAAGCTGATGTTTTGCAACGCCGACCTGTCCTAAGAAACCAGGCCTTTAGATTCCTCCCATGCATCAAATTAATTTAAAACTCTTAATTAAAGCAAATAATAAATTACTTACAATGTTTCCATCTTCATCTGTTGGAGGAGCACCTATAAAAATTAAATAAAAATTTTAATATACATTCATTAGCATTTTCAGGGTTTGTATTTTGTCCAGAAAAAAATTTCTTACAAAGTAATGATTACATGTCGGTTGGTGTGCGAATGCACGGTTCATGTGAGTGTCTCAGTACATTTAGAAATTCCCCTTCAAAATATGATTCCAAATATCTTATCATTTCACCTTGTCAGCAAAAATTTAGTGCATTATTGGCAAAATCCCAATGGCAGAATTTGTTTCAGCTTTCTGAGACAATTCTCCTTAACACTAATGCGTTTTTGAAAGACATTTTTAATCACAAATATATATGTTACAAATTTAAAGTAACAAAAAAACTTTATGTTTTTAAAAAACATAAAAAAGATTAAAAAATTCATGTATAGAAAAAAAATTTATAATCTGTTTAAGAGTAAATGTAAGAATTTTTTTCAATCTACATACTATTTTTTCAGAGATAATGTCACAATTTTCTTAGGTTCAAATCATAAACTGTCTAAAATAGGTAAAATTGTCAATGAAAAAAATTTCTTATATTTTTTAAATCAAAACTCAATCTAGGGGCATATGATAGCACTTTAGCAGATATACAAAACTGAAATTTTTTTTCAGTTGCCAGATCACGAAAGTTCAAAGTTAGTGTTGCTACACCATGAAATAAAAACACCTGAAATAAAAAAATTTTAAACAAAATTTTATGTAGAAAACTATGTGCATATTTGGAGAAGTGAACTCGTCTTCCAGAGAGAGTCCGAATTGGTTTGTTCTGATCTGGAGCAGGGTTCGTTGATTTAAATCAGCTTGATTTAAATCACGATTTAAATCTTGATTTAAATCAAATGATTTTTTTAAAAAAATCATTGATTTAAATCAACTGATTTTTTTAAAAAAATATATATTGATTTTAAAAGTTAAAAAACAGTGTTTTAAATTATTGATACTCTTATTATTTTCTTTTCTTAGTCTTAAAATTTATTTTAAATAAATTGCTGCATTAATTAAATTTAGTTAACGAAATTACTTTCTTTCTTGGGTGTGTGTTAAATTCCAACACATTTAAAATTACATTTTTAAAAATATTTTGATTATTGAGATTGAAAGTACAAATTAAAGTACATTTAGTGCTGTCTTAAATTTAATCATTTAATGCTAAAGTGTCTGTCATTTAATGCTAAAGTACATTTAATGCTGTCTTAATATAGACTTACATAGCTGTAGAAAGNGATTAAAACGAGCAAGGGAATTGTTAAACGTAGCATTAATAAATTGTGTATTTTGCCATTGGACAATTAAAAAAGATGTGTGTTAATTTTCTCATTATGTGTACCTACAGCATTTATTCAATCTTTGTAAATTTTATATTGGAATATGTTTATGTACCATTGTTATGCTAATTTGTATGTTTATTGAATATAATTCAACGGCGGGTGGATGTTCAATATCTCAGAAATATAGCGCCAACTTGGCATCTTTGTCTCAGCATCCTCGCCACCGTTTGTTGTAACCCTAATCAGTTGAAAATTAGTTGTTGATCTTATAGCATGAGCGTGCTCGTAGCACCAATCATAATAAAAATCTTTAATACAGTCCATTCTATTTTAATCATTTGTTAACAAACGAACCAGCATAGAAATCAATCAATTGGTATCGAACACAAATCATAAACTGTCTAAAATAGGTAAAATTGTCAATGAAAAAAATAAAGAAAATTTCTTATATTTTTTAAATCAAAACTCAATCTAGGGGCATATGATAGCACTTTAGCAGATATACAAGTCTATGTATTTGAAACTAATGCTTTTAGTAAATGAAATTCAAACAGTAAAATCTTAACAACTTTTTAATATAACATTTAACAAGTAAACAGCATTCGTGGAAATATAAGAACACAACTATAGACAAAGATCGCTGACCGTTGTCTAAAGTAAAACTCTAAAGCTAAATTAAATCTCTTTTTCACAGAAAACTAAACTGAAATTTTTTTTCAGTTGCCAGATCATGAAAGTTCAAAGTTAGTGTTGCTACACCATGAAATAAAAACACCTGAAATAAAAAATTTTTAAACAAAATTTTATGTACAAAACTATGTGCATATTTGGCGGAGAAGTGAACTCGTCTTCCAGAGCGAGTCCGAATTGGTTTGTTCTGATCTGGAGGAGTTTCTTTTACAATTTGCTTATTTGTGGCTGAGATGTTTCTTTAGGTGTAGGTTCTGGTTGTTTTGATAGAGGTTGGAAAGTATCTTGATCAGGTAGTAGATGAGCAGGTTTAAGTCTATTGATGCTTACAGTACACTTTTTATTATTTAAGATATTTGTGAAATTTTTGTCATTTCGAGAAATTACTTCATAAGGACCTGTATAAGGTGTTGCTAATGAAGGTCTCATAGCATCAATACGTAAAAAGACACGAGAGCATGTATCTAGGTCTCGGAAAACAAATGTAGATGGAGAAGAATGATAAGCTGTTTGCTTTGGTTTTAACTGTTGAATGTGTTTTTATTTTTAATTTCATGATAAAAATAGGTTCAGTCACATTCAATTCTTCCTTAGAAAAAAATTGACCTGGAAGTTGAAGATTTTCTCCATAGACCATTCCTGCCATGGAAGATTGTACTTCTTGAAAAACAGTTCTCAGTCCCAGTAGAACTAAAGGTAGGGCGAGAGTCCAATTTACTGATGTGTGACACATAATTGGTGTTTTAAGAACACAGTGCCATCCTTCAATCAGGCCATAAGCCTGTGGATGATATCATGCAGTTAGTGACAGGTGTATGCCAAATGTATTTGCAAAACATTTAAAAAGTTAAAGTAAATTGGGTTCCTCCATCGGTTGTCACTCTTTGAGGTACTCCAAAATGTGCGATCCATCCACTGTAAAATCCCTGAGCAACAGTTTCAGCTTTTATATCTGTTAATGGAATTGCTTTAGGCCAACGAGTCAATCTGTCAATGCAAGTTAAACAATAGGTAAATCATTGCGAAGACAGCAGAGGACCTACCATGTCTGGGTCACCAGTTTAGCAGATATACAAGTCTATGTAATTGAAACTAATGCTTTAAGCAAATAAAATATAAACAGTAAAAACTTAACAACTTTAATATAACATTTAACAAGTAAATAACATTCATGGAAATATAAGAACACAACTTAGACAAAGATCGCAGACCATTATCTCAAGTATAACACAAAAGTTAAACTGAATCTCGTTTTTACGGAAAACTAAATTGAAACTTTTTTTCAGTTGATCCTGGAAATTTCCCTGGAGCGAGAAATAGATGGCGAAACCTCACCCTGTCATTTTCACGGGAGCGAGAAGGAAGGGGTTAAGTACTTTCCATAGATGACATAGTACTGCTAAAACAATGCTAACAATCTTCCAAGGCTAGTTAACCTGTAGGGAGAATAATTGAAGTTTATCCATGTAAGGATGATATTGTTCAAGTTGTTACAAGGAAAATTGCAAAAGGACTTCATAAGCGATCATTAGTTAAGTTGTACTTAGTGAATCAAGAATGAATTCTTGATTGGGTAGGAAAATGTTCAGAGCGACTCATAGGCTTGACATAATCCAACATTTATATTTACAGCTACATTTCATTTATAAATTGTACTAGAGCTTAGATTCACAACGATTCTTCGCTAATTTGTTCACGAAATGTGGTCAATATGGGGAGCAGAAAATTGCAAGTGTGAACCACGAATTGAGATTAAATTGCCATTTGTAAAACAGGAAAATTTGAATTGATACTATACTACAACATATATTTTATATAAATCTAGCAATTTAAAAAAAAAAGCCTTAGTCACCTTGATAAAATTAGTACAGATACCGGTACAGAAATATCCTCTTAATGCAATTTGTTAGGTTTATAAGATCGCAGCTATATCAATGGTAAAAATTGTTAAGAACTTGACAACACTGTCAGTTCAATAAAATGTTTTATAACAAAATTTTATATTGGCTAATAAAAATGATTTTTTACTTAACCTTGTGGGGATTTATGACAATGTCAACCTTCTTCTATCGAAAGGTACATCTAGATAGAGTCGAGTTATCACGTCTTATATACTAGCGATTTGGTATTTAATATTTGTAGTGGTAGTTAGTTATGCCACATTATATTAAATCCGTACAACCTTCCATTTTTAAAAAAAATATATTCTAAAACGTAATCGTATTCCCCTTGTACGGAAAACCGTAAAATTTTAGGCATGCTTATTCCAGAATGAATTAAATCTGATCTAGATCAAGGTTTATCTTAACCAGGGGTCCGTGTAGAAGAAATTTGGGTCCGTTAACGGATCCTTCACAAAATATCTTTTCATGCAGACGGACCCTTCACAAAATTGTTTATCTTCATTGTTGTTTTGTTAATCGAATAAACCCTTCCTAGGGCAGAAAACAAGAAAGATGAATGTAAATGAATTAAGTTTTGTCTTCGGAAATGAATATTCTGCCTTCAGCAGTATAGGCTAAATATCAAATATTTGTATGTTGCCTCTCTAATTCAAAAGCAGCAATTGCTGTTTATTTTTGAAAATTTAATTTCTTTTATTATAATTTTACAATTTTATTATAATCTTGTATCTATTTACAATTTAAAAACTCATTGAAAAAGTTTTTTGCAATAACCGGACCTTATTTGTACAAATTCATAAAAGCAGGAACCTGGTTGAAAGAATGTAATTTTTTCACAATTTCACGAAAACCGAACCTTTCACAAAATGTTTGGACAGACCCCTGATAAAAAACATAACCAATCCAATGAGTCATCCCTATATCAAGATAGAATTTTAGTGCCCCATAAGTCGCTCAATGAATAGTCTCTTTCGACTCAACTGTAGTTAGTTTTATGAATGATACATATTCCAATCCACAGTATTGAGTAGTCTATTGAATTAAAACAAATTTAATTATAATAAAAGAGATTTGATTTTACAGATTTAGCTCCTGATTCTTTTGGAATAAAATTTAAACCTAATCAACATGCTCAGTCACCATTATAAATCCACCTATAATTTTGTTTTTGGAATTCCTATTTAATTTTTGGTCATTATAAAAATTCAAATATTTTTTGACAAGCAAATCATTTAATAATAGTGAGAAAAGTTGAAGTCAAATAATTTTGTAATCACTAATTGCATATTATGACTAGACAGAGTTTTACACAAACCTTATAATAAAATTGGAACAGATTTTTCAGACAACTGCACTCGATGTTTGGCAAATTTTTTTCTTGCTAACCAATTTTGTCACATTCTTATTGGCACCCCTTTTGTCATATGCTGAAAATGGAATCAAATATTGCTACCCTAATAAATTTGAAGTTCACTTGTCTTGCAGTTATTTTTTAACACATACCATGCATTTTATAAAAAAAACAGTGTAGGGCATAGGTGGGGAACCTGCGGCCTCCGCGAGGTTCTTGTGCGGCCCTTTGCCACCTAGTACAAAATGGTAGAGTTCGTTTCAAAAAACAACTATTGTACATCAACNAGGTTCTGGTTGTTTTGATAGAGGTTGGAAAGTATCTTGATCAGGTAGTAGATGAGCAGGTTTAAGTCTATTGATGCTTACAGTACACTTTTTATTATTTAAGAGATTTGTGAAATTTTTGTCATTTCGAGAAATTACTTTATAAGGACCTGTATAAGGTGTTGCTAATGAATGTCTCATAGCATCAATACACAAAAAGACATGAGAGCATGTATCTAGGTCTCGGAAAACGAATGTAGATGGAGAAGAATGGTAAGCTGTTTGCTTTGGTTTTAGCTGTTGAATTGTTGTTAATTTCATGATAAAATCAGGTCTAGTCACATTCAATTCTTCCTAAGAAAAAAATTGACCTGGAAGTTGAAGATTTTCTCCATAGACCATTCCTGCCATGGAAGATTGTAGGTCTTCTTGAAAAACAATTCTCAGTCCCAGTAGAACTAAAGGTAGGGTGAAAGTTCAATTTACTGATGTGTGACACATAATTGATGTTTTAAGAACACAGTGCCATCCTTCCATCAGGTAATAAGCATGTGGATGATACGATGTAGTTCGTGACAGGTGTATGCCAAATGTATTTGCAAAGCATTTAAAAAGTTCACTAGTAAATTGGGTTCCTCCATCGGTTTTCACTCTTAAAGGTACTCCAAAACATCTGATACATCCACTGTAAAATCCCTGAGCAACAGTTTTAGCTTTTATATATGTTAATGGAATTGTAAACGGGAATTGTAATGGAATTGTAAATGCAAGTTAAACAATAGGTAAATCATTGCGAAGACAGCAGAGGACCTTGCATGTCCGGGTCACCAGTTTAGCAGATATACAAGTCTATGTAATTGAAACTAATGCTTTAAGCAAATGAAATACGAACATTAAAAACTTAACAACTTTAATATAACATTTAACAAGTAAATAACATTCATGGAAATATAAAAACACAACTTAGACAAAGATCGTTGACCATTATCTCAAGTAAACACAAAAGCTAAACTGAATCTCTTTTTTAGAGAAAACTAAACTGAAACTTATTTTTTAGCTGCCAGACCATGAAAGTTCAAAGTTAGTGTTACTACAGCACCTGCTGCCCTACATTTTGCTGCTGTCTGGGATTAATTTGGTCAAACTTCACTTATATTGAGATACAGAGGATTCATTTTTGTATTTAGTATTCCTTTGTATTACACTAAAGGAATAAAATATTTAGTTAACTCAAATTGAAAAAGTTTTAAATTTGAAATTTCTCATTCCAGTTATATATAATACAAATAATTTAGATATAGTAATGATGTCTTATTTCTTATTAAGGAAATGATATCATCCCCTCAAAAATTATATGTTTTGGACAACATACATGGAAGCTTATTCAAAAATTAAAAGTAAATAAAAAGCAAGTTTTGGAAGTGATGATATGCTGAATATTTAAATTCTCTTCAGCAAAAAATGAAAAGCAGGAAAACTACTTTTTCCATAGGTGACATAGTACTGCTAAAACAATGCTAACAATTTTCCAAGTGCTAGTTAACCTCAGGGCTAAAGAGAGTAGAAGGGCTGGTTCACTCCTTTGAAGTAGCTCTCGCCGCGCCAATCCTCTAATTTTCTCCAGTGACGTCACTTTGGCGCAAAGCTCGCACTTTTACTTCAAGAACGGAGCGTTTGACCTTACTAACTCTAACTAATATTGGAGCATTTCTTTTTGCGAGATATTCTAAGACATTTGTTATTTTCTATAATGACTTTCCTCAGTTTTTGCAGTGAATTTACAAGAATTTAAAACTATTATCGAAATGCCAGTTTGCGCGATTGCAACCTGAAAAATTTCTGATAGAAAAACAGAATGAAAAATTAAAATTTTCAGCGTGTTCCCTATAGTAAATGAACAGCTATGTAAAGAATGGATTCTGAAATTACACAGTTAATATAAAACAGCAATACGTTTATTCTGTCGTTAAGAACTTTTATAAAAATTCATTATCTAACTAGAAACCGCCTCGTTACTTCAAAAAGAAAAGCAGGTGAAAAAAATTAAAAAATGGATAAAGTCAAGAAAAATTAAAATGTAAATATAAAGTATAAATAAAATATATAATATATAGTTGGAATTCTCCTAATTTCATATTTTTTAATGTAGTTATTCTAAATATTTATGATTTTTTTTAAAATATTATATTCTTTTAAATTTAAATATCTATAAATTATATCATCGTAAATTTAAATATCTATAAACAATTGTAAAATTTCTAATGTCATTATGAACCTAAATTATTATTTTGTTTCAGTAATTAACGTTTAAGGATGATGTTTCCTAATGATTAAGTATGAACAAATTGCTATTAACGGCATATTTTAAAATCAGTGAATCTAAATTTAACTCCACTTATCATTATAAAAGAATATGTAGATAAAAAAAGTGTCGATATATGCTTTCATCTTTCTTAATAATTAAAGTTAAAACAGAACTTTTTAAAATAAAATATTTATAGTGTCATTTTCGCCAACTAGTAAAACATTTTTTTAAGCTTAAAATGTTATTTTTTTTAATATAATGGACAAGAAAGTTTTTTTGAACTATATTTATGAACGGAAATAATGTGTTAATTACGTAAAGTTTGAAAGCTAATAACCAGAAAAAGTCTAACTTATTTTTACAAAGAGAAAGATGCAAAGTTATCATAATATGTTTGCTTGCGATCTCCGAGATCTGTGGACACAGTGACGTCATGAGGAGGAAAATCGTAGCTTCAGCTCTAAGAGCGGAGTGAACTAGCCCTTCTATACTCTTTAGCCCTGAGTTAACCTGTAGGGAGAATAATTGAAGTTTATCCATGTAAGGATGATATTGTTCAAGTTGTTACAATGAAAACTTCAAAAGGACTTCATAAGCGATCATTAGTTAAGTTGTACTTAGTGAATCAAGAATGAATTCTTGATTGGGTAGGAAAATGTTCAGAGCGATTCATAGGCGTGACATAATCCGACATTTATATTACAGCTACATTTCATTTATAAATTGTACTAGAACTTAGATTCACAACGATTCTTCGCTATTCGTTCACGAAATGTGGTCAATATTGGGAGTAGAAGACTACAAGTGTGAACCACAAATTGAGATTAAATTGCCATTTGTAAAACAGGTAAATTTGAATTGATACTTTACTACAACATATATTTTATATAAATCTAGTAATTTAAAAAAAAAAAGCTTTAGTCACAAAATTGATAAAATTAGTACAAATACTGTATAATTAGTACAAATATTCTCTTAATGCAATTTATTAGGTTTATAAGATCGCAGTTATATCAATGGTAAAAATTGTTAAGAACTTGACAACACTGTTAGTTCAATAAAATGTTTTATAACAAAATTTTATACTGGTTAATAAAAAATATTTTTTACTTAACCTTGTGGAGATTTATGACAATGTCAACCTTCTATCGAAAGATACATCTAGATAGAATCGAGTTAACATGTCTTATATACTAGCGATTTCGTATTTAATATTTGTAGTGGTAGCTAGTTACGCCGCATTATATTAAATCCCTACAAACCTTCCATTTTTTAAAAAAAAAATTTCTTAAACGTAACCGCATGCCCCTTGTACGGAAAGCCGAAAACTTTTAGGCATGCTTATTCCTGAATGAATTAAATCTGATCTAGATCAAGGTTTATCTAACATTAACAATACTATAAAATTAATATATCTCGAACTACATTTAAGAAATACTAAAAATAAGATAACTAACCCCATTCGTAAATAGCGAATCCAATCAGTGTTGTAAACACTGATCCGAAAGCTAAAAAAGTCAATTTCATCATCTTTCGAGAAAAAGCATCATTCTTTTTATTTTCATCAGGCTTTTTTGTGTCCTCTTCACCAGAATTAGATGACTGCTTCCCCATGCTAACTTTTAATATTTCATCATTTAATATTTTTATATCACTAGACTTGTGAGTACAAAACAAAACTTTGTTGGAAGCATTAAAATGTACCGATGAAGGTGGGATTTTGAATGCATTTTGCGAACTTAGCAATCTTTTAGAAACTATACTTTGGGAGCTAAAAGACCTTTTAGAAACCGTATTTTGTAAGCTAAATAATCTTTTAGAAGATTTCAATAGAGCAGCTTGACAGAATTTAGACCGAAATATCCCAAATAAACACACGGTACGACGGCCCGCCATGTTACAAATTGTAGAATAAAAACAAGAAAAATCGATTGCCATCTAAATTATAAAGATATGTTATAATAATAATAACTTGAGGCTCATTTTTTAAAATTTTGTTTAAAAATTCTGCAATGAAAAAGAATTTCGGTTTTATTAATCAAAGCGAGTAAAAAAAATATTCTTTTAAAAGCTATAGCTGAAAAAAAAAAAATTCCCATTTAGCCATAACCGTAACTTAAAAGCTTTATTTTTGTTTACAGTAGTATGGATGTCAAAGTCTCTATGGTATTGTAAGACTGGGAGTTATTTCACTATCTATCTAGTAGAAATAGTTTTAGCTAGAAATAAAGTATACTCAATTCCTTTTAAAAACATAATGGCGAACGACGACGATCAGAAAGGTTATAGGTGGGAGACGGAATATGAAAAAACTTGGGAGGCCATTCGTGAAGATGAACATGGTCTTTTGACATCCAGTTTGGAAGAAATTGTACATAAATCCCGAAGAAAGAGACTCTTAGAGAAAAAGAATCTTAAATTGGGTATGATGCGTCATCTTTACTTGGTCATCGATACCTCAGAGACTATGTTAGAGCCAGATCTCAAGCCCACCCGGTATCTCTGCACGATCAAACTCCTCGAAAAATTTGTTGAGGAATATTTCGATCAAAATCCAATCAGTCAACTCGGTATAATATGCACTAAGAACAAGAGAGCCGAGAAGATTACAGAGTTAGCTGGCAACCCTCGATCGCACATCGATGTCTTACAAAACTTGTCAAAATCCGCTTGCGTTGGTGAGCCTTCTCTACAGAACTCTCTCGATCTAGCAGCACAAACTCTGAGATTCATGCCTACTCACACCAGCAGAGAAATATTAGTCATATTCGGTAGTTTAACGACCTGCGATCCTGGGGACATCTACGAAACAATTGATTCTTTGGTGTCTCACAACATTCGTTGTTCAATCATCGGACTAGCGGCAGAATTAGTTGTGTGTAGGAAAATCGCTAAAGCGACGCAGGGAATGTATAGCGTAGTCATCGATGACTCTCATTTCAAGGAATTGCTGTACGAGCAAGTGTCCCCGCCTCCTGCTACGAGTAGCACAGAATCGTCACTCATCCGCATGGGGTTCCCCTATCACCAAAGCAAAAGTGAAGGCAAACCATCCATGTGTATGTGTCACCTGGATAGTAAAGAACCCCATCAAGGGTTCGGAACGGAGGGTTTTTACTGTCCACAGTGTAACAGTAAATATTGCGAACTCCCCGTGGAATGCAAGGCTTGCGGTTTGACTCTAGTCTCTGCGCCCCATTTGGCTCGCTCGTTTCACCACTTGTTTCCCCTCGACTGTTTCAACGAAATGTCTGTTGCAAATTTGGACCCTGAAATTAATAGGTATTGTTATAGTTGCCTGACTATTTTTAACGAGCAAACAGTTTATCAGTGCGGTGCTTGTAAAAATATATTTTGTTTAGAGTGTGATCTTTTCATTCATGATTCACTTCACGCCTGTCCAGGATGTTCCAGCTCTAGGATATGTTAATTAATTTGTATCTAAAAGTTCCATCAATAGCTTTGATATTAAATAATGATTAATTTTTGATGTTACATTGTAGTTAATCTGCTAGCCTTTTTTTTAATTTATTAGTACACTGTTAATAATGGACCTTTATGCAAGTCTCCAGGGTAATCCAACTCTAGAATATGTTAATAAAGCTTCATTTTCATGGTTATAATAATTGCACCAGGCTTCTCCAAAGTGAAATTTATAATCAGGCTGCTTTAAATGATGTTTTTTTTTTCTTCCTGCAACTGAACAAAACTCAAATACAATACAGAACCATTTATCCGGTATCCAGAAAAGCAGGAAAAATTTTCACAACTGCAATAATTAGAGACTGTGTAAGTTTATTACTTTACATAAGAAGGTTTTGATATATTATCTCATTACAAATAATTAATTAATTTCATTAAATGTCTTAGAAAAAGAAACTTCCTATCACTTAACAAGCTTTTTAACCCCTTAACGATCAGATAATTTTCAAGAAAACGGTCATAAAGGTGCCTATTTTGCCAAATACACATATTTTGATTAGTGCTGACATCTAGTTTAAAATAATCTATCTATAATTACCTGAAAAATATCCTGGTACTGCCATCTGGTGTGTAAAATGAGAAATAAAAGGTTTTCCAGGCAAGAGAAATGAATTACAGTGTTCGCCGTTTATTAAAATCACTTTCGTTTTATGCTCTTTTGATTTTATTAAGAGGCGATTCAACATCTGAAAGAAAAAAGAAATCACATTTTTACGATATATTCTAAATGCACACACTTTAAGAGCTGAAATAATGACAACATTAATGCTTTATTTTAACTAATTTAATTATTTTAATAAAATAAAACCCTTCATAAGATTAAATTTACTAACTTTTTGCAAAAAACCGATCAATGGTTGCTTGAGTTGCAGTATTTTAAATTAACTTTTCAACATCATTTGAGAGTTTATAGAAGTTTTTAAAGTTTTCGATATTTCCTCCTCTTTGTTCTAAAGCTTGCCACGATACATTAAGTGCTTTTCTGACTTCCATTGAAGATGGCACTGATGAGTTTATTTAATCATCTGAGTGTGATTCCTCCATTTCTTGATTGGAAATAACAATTTTTGATGTCTGTAACAATTACAGAATCAGATTTTTCTCCTGATGTTCGCAGGTTATCGTCAATAGCTACGTAACGTGAAAAATTCTTGTCCAATTCATTTTCTTCATTGTTGAGCATTTCTTCGAAACAGTTATCAGCTCCATCGCCAGTGCTTAATCCACACTTTTTAAAGCAATTTGATATTGTTGAAACAATTATCCATGAGTTACGAATCAAATGCATTGATTTCAAAATAGTAAGGGATTTTGATAGTTTGTTTGCAGTTAACAGTTCCGAGGAGCTGTCACAGTGTATGCCACTAATGATTTTTTGAACAACCATTTTTCTGTAATGAAACTTGAATGATCTTATGATTCCCTGATCAAAGGGTTGAATAATAGCTGTAGTGTTGGGTAGCAAAAACACTAATTTAATGTTTTATTATTAATATTGTAGCAATTTGGTTCTTGCCGATTTGATTTTATAAAGCGGCTGATTTTATTATCCGGTGATTTTATTATCGACGGGCACTGTTGTTTTATTCTTATTGGCGCGTTACTACTGAACACTCTATCCTGGAAATTTCCCTGGAGCGAGAAATAGAGGGCGAAACCTCACCTCGTGATTTTCACGGGAGCGAGAAAGAAGGGGTTAAGTACTTTCCCTCTCTTTTGCAATGGAATCATATTGTGCTGCATTGTGAGCCCTCTAATTTGTCTACGATTACTTCCTTTAATACAAAGTATATTAAAATATAATGTCTGGTGGAGATTGAAAATCATAGGTTAATGTCGAGGGGAGATATAAGTCAAAATTTGTATGAGCAACAATTTTTCCATTTTAAGGCTTTAAAACGCACTTAAGGGAAAATAAAAAGTCTTATTATTAAGTAAAAGAATATTTTATTTACGTTACGATATAGCTTTTTAAGTAATTTCCCTCCCTTTGTCAATGGAGACATATTGTGCGACATTTGGGACCCCTTGATTTCTCTATAAGTATTAATATTGGTACGGTTGTATAGTATATTAAAATAGGTTAAAATAAAATTTTAGGTTAATATTGAGCGAAGATTCAGGACCATGTATATATACAGTGTATGTTCAACAATTTCTCCATTTTAATGCTTTAAAGTGCACTTAGAAAAGGAAAAAAAGTCTTATTAAGTAAAATAATACTTTATTTACGTAATAAAATAGCTTTTCAAGTAAGTTTTTGCAATGGAACTATTGTACCTTATTATGTCCTTTGGTATGGTAGTATAAGAAATTAGAGTATTATGTATGATAATACCTTACCTTATATGTATACAGGGTGGTCCCGAATTCATGGTACAAACTTTAATGGTAGGTACAGGACATTGTAACAATGATTTATTGTATAGGAATGTATAGTCGCAAGTGACGCGGTGAGGCGTAAACAGGAGAAATAACGGCCGAAAGGAAAAACAAAGATTTTATTGAAAGCGTTGTTGACAAGTGTCATGTTTACAGTAAGTGTTCAAAATTGCGTCCACCAGAAGCGATACATGCTTGACAGCGTCGGTGGAGCGATTGGCGTACACGTTCAAAGATGCCTGGTATTTCACGCACACCTGCAGCAGCTACAGATATGCGAGCGACGAGATCCTCATCTGAGTCAACTGGAGTCTCAAAAACAAGATGCTTTAGATGTCCCCATAAAAAGTAATCGAGGCTCGATAAATCGGGAGATCGGGGTGGCCAAGGGATTGGTCCACCACGCCCAATCCATCGAGCACCAAACTGCACACTACTGCCCTCTACCGGCAATGATACCAACCGATCACTCCATTTCTCTTTCCTTTTATTTCCCCTGTTTACGCCTCACCGCGTCACTTGCGACTATACATTCCTATACAATAAATCATTGTTACAATGTCCTGTACCTACCATTAAAGTTTGTACCATGAATTCGGGACCACCCTGTATATATTTATTAGGAAACTGAAGTTTAACCACAGTATCTAAGACAGTATTTTGAGTTAAACCCTATAAATTTTTCTTATAGTGGTTTAATGTGTAACATATATATTTTATAACATGTAGAATCACAGTAGACAGCACAAACACATTTATTAAATAAATTTTTCGAATTATAAAAATTTAGTTATGACAATACCAACTGATCATTTCTAGAACTGATATCTTATTCACCATCTCTTACTAATTTATCTTAATATACCTACCTTAAAATAATTTACAATATTTTTCGGATTATTAAATGACATGGAAAATTAATGCTGTAATTATCTATTACCCTTTTTAAATATATGGATTCAGATTGGTAACTTTTAGTCCACATTTGATTTTTCACCAATAATAGACTGGGCAATAAGTTATAAGATTGATAACATTTTGCCCATCTCACGCTTACTAAATTTCTAAAAGTCACGGTTAAAATTATCTTTTATTTTGTAACAACAAAATTGACAGTAAATTTCAAATTGACTAGCATTCATTCAATTTAACAATCGCAAAATAATTTATGCGTCTCATTGTCTTTTTAGTAAATATTTAATATGCGTGAGCTAATTGTGCAATTTTTTTTTTACATTTGCTTTCAAATTAATTTTATTCAAATGTTACATTCATAAATAGAACTAAGCACGCTCAGTTTTATTACGAACGTGATTCAGTTTTGTATTTACTTTTAAAAACATTACAGGTATGAAGAGTTAACATTAAATAGTCAAGAAAACTATAACTTACGATGCAAAATTTTCACAATTTATAGGACAAGATTTCACAAAATTCATTAATATTTAAGAAATTTAAAGTTTCTATTTACAAAAAAAAATAATAATAATTCTATCAATCTAGTAAATTATTTTCTCATATCCAGAGAGATCCATTTTCATATTAATTACATTTTGTGTAATCAATATGCTCTAAAAAGAAAAAACATTGCCGCGTTTGTCTCTGGGTTTAACCGAGTTTTGTTGAGGGTTAAAAAAAAAAACTTAAAACTCTCTTAAGTGGAATATTACTACTAGAATTTTCGCTCACTAGGGACGGGATTATATAGTTTTACATATACAAATAAGTTGCATTTCATATAAACTGGAAAAGTCAGCAGATCCTACTCATAGAATAAACTTTCAGAAAATTGCATTTTCTTTAAATCTGTACTCAAACTGTTTAGTTTATTGGGATTATAAAATTTTACATATTTGAACAAGTTGCATTTCATATAAACTAGAAAAGTCAGCCGCACCTATTCTTAGAAATCAGAATTTCAGAAATTTTATACTCAAACTTCCAAAGAAAAGGTTTATTTTTAGTTAATTCAAGTTTTGCACATTTTCACAGAAATGAAACTTTACAGAGCAGAATGAGTTGTGTGAATTTAAAATCTTTCCCAAACATGAAATAGCATTTTCCGGATTCCGTGTGCTCGATAACGTTTTCATTTATTTTATTTGTTTAAATTTTAATATCCTGCAAGCAAATTATTTTTAATTTTGTGGCCTAAAATTTAATTTTCTGGCCTAGTATAAACATCTACTAATAAAGGAAAAATTATCACCCATTCATGAGGAAATTTTGAAAAGATGGAGAACATATTCTTAGTTTAAAACGGGGATAGCCCTGCTAACACCACACTTATTTAGACACCCGATGGTTAAACGTTAAAAAGGAAAACAGAGACTTACTTGACAAAGAAACATCCACCAATATCTGTGCAAAATTAAATCTATGTGAGGGGACTAGCTCAGGACAGGAGTGTCGACCTGGAAAGACTTTAGGACTTATGTGCCAGCTAGCACGAAGAAGTTAGGGCAGGTATAGAAGTATGTTACGTCATATTTAACTTTTTTTTAAAATTTGTGTAGGTAATTGTAGGAAAAATTAAGTTTCTTCGGAAAACTTAATAAAAAAAACTTCCCTTTTTTATAAACAAAATCTAAAAACTTACTTTTAAAAAAAGAAAGAATGAGTTATTTGAA